CCCTGCCTGCCCCCACGGAGAGCTCAGGGAGTTTTGCTCAGCTGCTGCCTCCTGGCTCCAGACACCAAGTCCCCTCTCTGGTTCCCCAGAGGCGTCCTAGAGTGTCTAACGGCATCCCCCTGGGAGTGTGGGGGGGATGCCTGGGCAGGGCCAGAGGCTAATCCACAGCAAGGGCTCAGGGCAGTGGGTGCCCAATCCGGCTAAACTGAGCGCAACAGGAAATGACAGTCGCTTTCCCCTTGCCCCTGAGCGGCCAGTCCCTCTCCCAGACCTTCTTTGTGCTGCCCGGTCTCCTCTGGGCTCTCCAGGACACACGGCCCTGTGTAGCCCAGTGCTTCTCAGCTCTATCAACAGGAGGTTAGAGGGCCCGGGGCAGACTCTGGATTCAGCCCGGTGTGTGTCAAGCAAGTTCTTTCTGGAGAAGATGGGCTGAGCTGAGACTCAGACAACAAAGCAGGCATTGGCGGAGGGGCCCTCGGAGCCAGCCCGCTCGCCGCCGCCCACGCCCGTCCCCGCCCGCCGAGTCCCAGATGCCAGGTTTCCTCCAGGAAAACTTTCCGCAGCGGCTCGCACTGAGCATGCTCGGCGGCGGGGCGGTCCTGGGGTCCGGAAGCTGCACAGCTCGACCGCGCCGGCCACTTTGGGGTCACCCGTCCGGGGCGGGCGATGGGCTGGGCGGGCTGCCCCGGGCGCGCCACGTGGGTGCTGGCCGGGGGCCTCCTGGCCGCCGCCCTGGCGCTGCCCGCTGGGCCCGGGGCCCGAGGCTGGCGGCTCTGCTGCGTCTCCGCCCGCGGCGGGAGGCCCCTCGGAGTCGGGGGAATGATCAGAAAGGGGGGCAGGCTCTGAGGAGGACGCTGCGCCTTGTTCTTTAGTGGCTCCCGCTTGTGGCTGAAAACTCTCGGGAAAGGGGGAGACGGGTGTGAGGTGGCCGCGGGCTCGGGGTTTGCGGCAGGGCGGGACCCCGCTCTGCAGCCTGAGCGCTCTGTGACCCAGGGCGGTCGCTTCCCTTCTCGGGGCCTGTTTGCTGCTCCGTAACCACTGCAGCGTCTACCCCGGAGGGTGGATGTGAGCGTGAGGTGGGCTCAGGCACCAGAGCGTCTTCCCGAGGGGAGCGCCCCACGAGAGACGAGCGGTGGTTTACAGAGCACT